AAAAAATCTTATCTCCTTTACTTCTTCATTCATAACTGGATTTTTTTAAACCTTTCTATACTTCATGTGCAACTCATTGTAATTTTTAGTACTGACTGTTAAACAGCAATCTTCATCATGTTTCTTTCCTCTTGTCCAGGTGACAAGGCAGGAACTGTCCTGTGAAATTGCTCTGTGAAAAGTTCATGAAAATGAATCTGGAATCACCTCTTTGCTTGTTTTCCCTCTTAATTTTTATTTTTTTTTTTTACTGCCCCACTAACCTTTCCTCCACACCATGGTTATGTTGTACTCACGGTTATGTTGCTGAAACTTCTAGGTGGTCATAAACTGGTTGGAAATTAAAAAAAAAAAAAAGAAATAATATTTCCTTTCTAGCATCATCAATGCCATAATGTGTTGGCTTGCCCCTCTTTAAGCTTGAGCTTTGCACTGAAATTACTCCTTTGCTCTCTCAGTGATTTCTGTTGGTTTGCTTGGTACAGGGAATTTTTTTGATAGGCTGCAGTGTGTTAGGTTCGTGTAGAAAGTTTGGATGCTTTTATGCTTCCTCTTTTTAGATGATGAACTTGACTCCTTTCATTTGGGTTTTGACTATTCTGTCCTCTTACATCTCTGTTTACATGAGGCTGCTTTTATGTAGGTCTAACTGTGAGGAACTAGTTTGGTTTTTTTTTGTTCGGGGGTTTCTTTTTCAGTTGTTGATAACCATCACAGGGCTCAGCAAACAGCTGATGCTGTTTCTGCTTCAGGAAATAACCTGAAACACCTATTGGAGCAATATGTAAATCTGTAAATGCAGGAAGCAAGCTGTTGCCAGTATAACTCTGCCTTCTTTGGCCAGTTGAATTCACAGTGCTGAATTAGGATATCTGGAGGTACTTATTCCATCCTATTGACCTGGGCATGGAAACAGCCTATGGGGATCTCTGTGTAAAAGCTTTGGAAACCAATAAACACTTATGGCTTGGTGTGTGCTGAGGAAGTCATTCCTTGCATGGAGAGCCAGGGTAAAAGGCAGCAGGTCTGGTGTCATTACAAAATCCTGCTTAGACCTTTGGGGTTTCTTTGCCTTTGATTCTGTCTCTTGCCTTTTTGGGATGTTGGCTCCTGGCCAGCAAAGGACACAGGAGGTGTGAGGGGGCCATGAGCTGATGCTGCTGTAATGAGGCAAAATCAGGGTCTCATTTTTTGCCCAAAATTCACCAAAATTTGGTGAGGGGTTCAGGAGCACGTGGTGGTGAGGACCATGGAACACAACTCTCCATGGCACAGAGGGACTGTCACTGTGGCAGGGAGGAGGACAAGTCTCTGGAGGGCTGAGAGAGTCTGGAAAGTCCATTTTTGATTAAATAGGGTGTTGTCAAATGAAGTACAGACCAACTGTGCTGCAACTTTTGCTTAAAGACCTGATTTGCAGAAATCTGTAGAAAAACATAAAAAGTGCAAAAAGCTGTTGGATTGAATTTGTTTTGAATTAATCTAATATTTTTATTTTTTTGTATTGTTGTTTGGCTGTGTTCCTTTTCTGGTTTCATTTTTGACAAGTTTACTGGAATAGTGATGCATTCCTTCAATCTTAATGACCCACGATTAAGATAACATGAAATTAACACTCCTAAGGCATATATAAAAATCTTGGCTACTTCAAATAGCAGCTGCCAGCTGAGGCAACACATTTTGCTTTATTCATCAGTGAACTGTGTCAGTGGTGGCTTTTTACTCTTTGTCACTTCTGTCATCAGAAACAGTGGCTTTTTTCCTGTACTTTGAGTTATGAAAGAAAAACCCACTCAGTTTGGGACCTTCTGTGTTGCTGGAGGTGTAAATGCTGCTTCTGCTCCATCCATACTGGAGTTTTTGAAATTTAGGGGCAGGACTGATGGGTCCCTTTCATTATTTGGGTGCACTTTTTCCAGAGCTAGAAGGTGTTAGCAACCAACCCTCGAAGCTCTGGTACCCTGTGACACCTTGAAGCCTGCTCTGGTGGGGGAACTCCATCCCAGTTCCCTTGCCTGGGATCTCCAACTCTCTTTAAAGGACTCCTGAAGTTTATTTTTTCAGTTGCACCCAGTAAAGTGCTATAACAGCTCAGCAGACCTCAGGAGGAATGAGGGAAGGAGAGCTGTACATTCCCACTGAACTCTTCTGCACCGTCAGAGTGGGTTTAGGACACTTTTAAATGATCTATTTAAATTTGCCTGGTGTGTGAGGTGAGTTAGGGGCCAAAGTATTGGATTGAGATAAGGCAGACCAGCCCCTTGTAGCTCTCTAGTTGTTGGGGAGTGTTTGATGGTCATTTTGCTCCTCCATGACCCATCTTCCTTATCAGAGAAGCTGTTGCAGTTCCCTTGATGTGTTTGTAAAACATTTTGAAGTGTGGGAGTGATGTGTGCTTAGGAAAACCAGATTATGTCATTATTGGATGCTACAGATTGATTTTTGCCTGAAACATTTGCAAAGGTAACAGCAGTTCAGTGATTTTGGTTTCCTGTCGTTTTAAAACACTGGCAAATATGTAAATATAATACAATACAATATAATACAATATAATATAATACAATATATATTAATATAATATATATTAATATAATATAATATAAATATATATAATACCATAAAATACAGGAACCTATGAGTTCCTGTATTTTATAACAGGTAAAGTGTTATTAATCAGAAACTGGATAGGAAATAGATTAAAAAGAACTGAATTTGGAGTGATGGTGGAAAACCAGCTAAGCAAGAGAGATATTTTTTCCTGAGTTCATTTGAAAACAAATAAAACCAAACCAAAACCACTCCCAGAAACTCCCAAAAGAGAGTGAGGAACACTCTTCCCTGTTAATTTGCAAAGCCTTTCAAATGGTAATATAAAAAATGTATTGGGGATTTTTTTTTTAGTACCTGTTGGCTTCCCTCAGGATCACCACTTCTCTCTGGTATCACTAAACTTCCTAACCCTTTTATTCCTTCTCCTTTTCAGAGAACAAGGAACAGAAATACCCTCCTGTGATTTATTTGTCTCCAATTCTGGGCAGAGCTGCACTTCCCCACTGCTGTGAAGAGCTGGGCAAGGATGGATGGGACATAAAGCAAAGCAGAAGTCCTGGAGCCTTAGTCACCAGTCTGATGGACTTTCAGTAAGTATGAGTAAGGCTCACCTGTCTGCCACACAAATAAGTGCAGTGGTGCATTATTTACATGTTTGCCAGCAATGATAAGCAAATACCAGCATCAGCCTTCCTGAAGTGTCACAAAGAATTGGCATGCTTGAGGGGCTGAGCAGCTGCTGGAACCTGCTTCAGTGACATTTGCAGTTCAGTTTTGGGTGAGATGATGCCTTGACAGAGGTTCTAAAAAATAACCTATTACTTTGGGCTGAGTTATTTTGTGTTTTTACACAGCTGCAATGTGCAGGGTTTTGCTCTGCAAGGTAGAGAAATGTATTTCTCAGTGCAGGACTGAGGAACTTTCTAGGGTTTTTTTTTCTTGTAGAGCAACATGAGAGGACTCAATAGACAGCAGCATTTATTAGAATGATTTCTTGTGGAGGTCTATAACTGCCTATTTTAGATCTGCACCAGCAAACATTTCTGTATTTCTTGTGTCTGTGGCAATCAGTGGTTTTGCTCAACGTTAACGTTTAACTTTTAAATAAACTGCTGGATTCATGAAACATTCAGTGCAGAACCTCTCTTTTACCCTGTTTGCAAAACTGTGGGATCTCAGCACATCGTTCCCGATGTCCAGAGATGCCAGGAGAGCCCTTGGGGGTCTCGGAAACCCTGGAATGTTGCCAAGAGTGCTTGGTGGCTTGATTTTGATCCATCCACAGAAGTAACAGCAGTTTGAGGACATGAGAATCACTTTAGAGTGAAGGGTGTAAAAGGGACACATTTAGAGGGTGAGATATAAACTTTAAGGTTTTTGGTACAGGGGGGTTATGGAGACAAGATGGAGGGATCAGGGCGTGTCTCGTCCTTCTTCTTTCTTCTTCTTGTCTTCCATCTCCTGTGGTGATGTTGGCACTTGGAGATTGGTTTATGGTGAAAGGTGCACTTGCTAACATGGGTGAAAAGTATTGGAAAATAAAAGTAAATATCATGTACGTAGATTTTAGTATAAAAAGACATGACCGCCCCGTGGGTGGTCAGAGAGTGCCCTTGGCTGCCTTGCAGATCAGACCTCTGTTGGGCAGACAGAAAATTTTGTAGATAAGGAACAATAAACAATCTGAAGATGGAAAAGCTGAAGAGTCCAGGCTCGTCCTTTGAATCGCGTCCACCCAAGAACCGCCCTGCCCGTGTCGGGGCAGAGACAGACAGACGGACCCGACACAAAACTGTCAGTATTGCTGTGGCACAGTTCCCCTGCAGTGCCTCTCTGCCTGTTTTTGGTTCAGTGACTACAACACACAGCCAAGAAAACAGCTCTTTAGACCACGTAAGAGTAAAAAAAACGTGGCCTTGTGGGGGCTGCAAGTACCAGAGTACCACGAACTGGTTGAATTTGCATTTGCTGATGCTGTGCTGGTTTCTGTGTCATAAACCTCAGAGAGACACTTGAGTAAGTGTTGAGAGAGGGCCTGGCCATGGCACTGACACCGTGTGGGTCCCTGCCAGGAGATTCTCTGACTCTGGCTCTGCCAGCCAGGGTGAGCACTGACTTGACCTTCTCAGTTTGTGCTGCCCTCGTGCTAATGAATGGTTGCCACTGTATAATCCTCAGGCTTGTATTGAGAGGCTGCTGAGATCTGATTTCATGCTGCACCTTGGTTTGTACCCTCTCTTCAAATACTTCCGCTTGGTTCGGAGTTTTGGTGGTTTTTTATTTGTTTTATTTCTCCCTCTCTGCAAATCTGGCCTTTTTCCAAAGGGAAAACTGACAAGAAAGCTGGACAAAGCCTCCAGTTGTGATTGTTTTCTTTTTTGTTTGTTTGTATAGGTTCACACTTTACTCCCCAACACTTGAATTGTTTCTGTACTGTTGACAAAGGAAAAATGACCTCTACTCTAGTAAGTAAACAAAATATTCACAATATTCCTCTCTGATTATTTTCTTTTAATTTGGTTTTATTTCTTTACACATGACAGCCCATTGAGTGATGTCCTAATTAACAAGTCTTTTAAAACATGGACTATTTATTGTGTTTCCTTTTTGGCAAAAAGGGCAAAAGATGCTGTGAGGCAGGTGTAACAGCTTTGAATTAACCAACATTTCAAGTGCTCAGATACTTTTAGGGGAGATTTATGCTTTTGAGCATGTGTATTTGATTTATTTAAGCTTGTTTTGGTGGGATAGCCTTCTAACTAGTTCTTAAAGCTCTTGCAGGATAAATATTCCTGTTGGAGGGCAGTGTGTGTCAGAAATAGCTTAGGTGTACCTGGTGCTGTCACAGCATGAAATGGGGCAGTAAGCATTTATCCTGGACCTGGACAAAGGCTGTTACTTGTCAGCATTTCCTTCTGTGGTGGTGCAGCCCACAGCTGTCCCTGCTGTTTATTTCTACCCTGTCAGACATCCCAGGGCAAGCATTAGTGCAAACAGCTTGGGAGGGCTGGGCTCAAGAGTCCTTCTTAGGCTGGGCTGCTATGGAAAGCGAGATCAGGAAACTGATCTGGCCAGAGGATTCCCAGCCTCACTCTGTGTTATTTTTACTATTCAAACCGTGGGGTTTTGGGCATGTTCTGTGAATCTCTCTGTCTGTGTTCACTGGAGTCCCCAGTAAGTGCTCTGTGTGCGTGGGGTGTATTTTACAGAGTGGGACTGGGAGGTTTTTGTCCTCGTTTCTCACTCTCTGCTGTTCCCCCCCTCCCTCCCCACGCCACCCCTCAGGGTCCACCGCCGCCATACTACGAGAACAGGGGCTTCCAGCCAGAGCCCCCCTACGCTGCCAGGCCGGCAGCAGGTGCTCACCCCTACCCACAGCTCTTCTCCACAAACCCGCCCTCCGTGCCAAGCTACATCCCAAGGGTTGCCACCCACCAGTCCAGCAGGCCAGCAGCACCCCCACCCAGGAGAACCTGTGCAGCCAGTAAGTTTTGGGGGGGTTTCTCCTGGTTTTGTGTGAAAACCCGCAGGGAATATTCCTCCGTCTGCTCTGGGGTGCCCTGACCCCCAGGGATGCACTGACTTTGACCCTCATTCATGGAGAAAGTTTCTCAGACTTCAAGATAGACCAGAATCCACAAAAGTGTGAAATAGATTATAGAGAGCAGTGTAGACAAATTGAGGTTTTGGGGTTTTTAGTATGTTGTGGATGGCAGCAAGATGGAGGGCACAGGGTGTTGTCCTGGGTTTCTTCTTCATGCTTCTTCTTCCTCCTTCTTCTCCATGGGTTTGGGTTGCATTTTGTAATTGGGCAGAAAAGTCCCCATTGCAGCTCTTTGGGATCAGTTATTGGGGTAAAAGGGAAAATAATCCAGGTGTCAGTTCTTCATTGGATAGTTCAGTCTTAAAAGACCTTGGAACAAGAGATTGTTGCCATTTTGTGCCTTCTGATGAAAAGCTGCAGAACTCACAGCAGTGAGACTGTTTTACTGATAAGAAATAATAAACACCTGAGTCTGAACATGAAACACCATCTCAAGTGCCTTCAATCCAGACCCAGAGAAACCCACAACTGGTACTGCCACAGTTTTGGACCTGAGATCTGTTGAAGTAAGATAAAGGAAAGGGACTTTCCTTTCCAAGCTGTGCATTGAAGGAGCCACTTCCTTCATGCCTTTCCTCCTGTCATGAAGAAGTGACAGCTGGCTGGGGTGCTGGTGAAGCTGGGTCTTTGGAAGGAAGAATGGTGGAATGGGGAAAAGTCTGGCTAAAAATGACTTATTTTAATGTCAAATAAATAGTGCTGGTGGGTGGAAATAACTTTATTTGTGAACCTAATTTCTCTCCTCCCTGCTTTCACTTCAGGTCTAAGGAAAACCATAATAATTATATTATCTATATTAATAGTCATTTGTTGTGCAATTGCTGCTTTCTTCATCTGGTATTTTGGTAAGTTATTTTGTTTTCCTTCTTTTTATTTTTTTTTAAAGAAAAGATGTCTTAAACTTTTCAAGTTAGATGCATCCATTCTCATTTTATGCTTTATTCTGAATTAAGGACAGAAAAATCTTTGTTCCTTTTCTCCTAAGACATGAACTAATGTTGCTTCTTAATGGCTCAGTTTTGTCTGTGGGTTGAGTAGTTTTTTTTTTTACTTCTTTCTTTTTAATGCTGCTGTTACTTTCCAAATTTGAGCTTCACTTAATTTCAGGTGAAGGGAGGGGATTGCAATAAGTGTGCAAACCTTGACTGCAGGAGGGTAAATGATCAAGATGCATTTTGCTTTGCTAAAATGGGATCTCTATTGGAGCAGAAGTCATTTATATCCATTTATTTGTCTCTGTGGGGCTTTTATGTAAACATTGCATGAGCCCAGCCTGTCTCAGCACTCTAAGTTGTACCATGGATGTTTGCTTTGGAAATCATCCCCAGCTGGGGTGGCTGAGCTCTGAAGCAGGGCTGGACCAATTCTGGTCAGCTCAGGTGAAGTTTGCCTTGTGCTGTCTTAATTTCCCTTTCAATGAAAGCTGCTTTGCTAAAAAAGCAGGAAACTAGAAATCTGGTAGTTGTAGGAACCTCTCCTTTCCATTCTGCTCAGGAGAAGAGAAGGAGAGATCCAGTGGAAGGTGTCCCTGCTCACTGCATTGGGTTGGACTAAAATGTTGTTTAAAGACCCCTTCCAAGCTATTCTATGACTTTAAGGGAGTTCATTTAGAACTATTAGGATGACACTTTTTGTTCTTGGAGGTGGTTTTTTGACTCATTTTGATTTAAGCAGGGTGAATGTAATCTTGTTTTAAATGAGATCAAAAATACATAACTGAGACACTCTCCTCCTCCTTTTCTACGCGTTAACACTTTGCCAGTGCAAAGCTGACTCCTTTCTGACAACTTAATGGTGCCTGATTATTCAGGGGAGCCCAGTGGCCAAAACCCAACCAGCTGCATCAGAGATTTGATCTGTGCCAAGGACAGAGCAATCCATCTCTGCTGGGGCAGGCTGGGTCGCTCCCACCTCTGGGTTTAGGAGCTGCTCCCAACGTTTTGCTCCACCAAAGAGGGAAACTCTGAGAGCTGGGCTGATGTGGGTGGTCACCAATTGTTGTGGTGTTGTGGGTCCCAGGACGAGGTGAGAGATGACAATCGACTCCAAGTTCTTAGAAGGCTGATTTACTACATTATTATATTATATCATATACTAAGACTATACTAAAGAAAGAGAAAGGAGACATCAGAAAGCTAGAAAGGAATGAATAATAAAAACCCGTGACAGACAGAGTCCCAACACAGCTGGACTGGGATTGGTCATTAATTAAAAACAATTCACATGGAACCAATCAAAGATGCACCTGTTGGTGAGCAACCTCCAGACCACATTCCAAGCAATCAGATAATCATTGTTTACATTTCTTTTCGGAGGCTTCTCAGCTTCTCAGGAGGAAAATCCTGGTGAAGGGATTTTTCATAAAATATCATGGTGACCATGTGCAGCCTCGTGGCTGTGTTTCTGTCTCCCTGCAGTAGAGAACCACTGTCTCAGCTCCCTGATTGAGTGTGGCTCCTCAGGGGTGTGCATGTCCCCCTCCCAGTGGTGCGATGGAGTGAGCGACTGCCCCAACGGGGAGGACGAGACCCGCTGTGGTGAGTGACAGCAGCCAAGGGCTGGGGGAAACTCTGCATCAACTGCAGGAGCCTGGGGGAGCACTGCCCTGTACAGAGCTTGCCTAAGCTGCAACAAGGCTGTTTTAGCTCAAAGTCTGTCTTTAAAGTGGTTTAGGATGTGTGTTATGTATAGATATTCAGTTTGTTCCCAGCCCGATTGAAAAACTGAATAAAATGCTCAGGGGTTTGAGCTGCCCTGACTTTGAGTCAGTTTTTTAAATCTCAGTTTTTAATTTGAGCAGGGTTTGTGCAAAACTGGATCTAGCATTGTCTCTGGATGGAACAGTCAGTGGTGACTTCTCAGTAAACTTCAGGTGATAACAAACCTTCAGTCAGGCTTAGCTTTTCCCATGTATTTTGTATTCCTTGTTCTCTTCTTAGTTCTTCAACTAACTCATTTGTGTAAGAAAGCCTGGCCTAATCATTGCTTTGAACTGAAAAGATGCCAAGGGAAGCTTTAGAGCTGAAGGTAGAAGGTGGGAACCTTGATTTGTCCATTCCAGAGGTTTGGCATCTTGCGTCGCGCCAGTGCCACGCTGGAAACGCCAGCTGTGCTTTAAATTCCCTCTGCAAACTTTTATCCAGAACATTCTCCTGCAGGGTTGGCGTTTGCTGGCAGCTGTTCCACTCCATTTGGTTGAATAATGGCCTCTTGGAGAAGCCTGTTTCAATCTGTTCTTTTGCTTGAACTATTTTTTATTAAATTCTTGTGCAAGCAAATACATAATGGGACGTGGAATGTCAGAGCGAATTGCTCCTGGTTACATTCTTGCTTTACAAAGCACTTCTCTGAAGAAATTTGGTGTATTAAGAGATAATAAAATCTCTTAATAATAAAGATATTAATAAGATAATATATTTTTCAATAGACTATATTTTATTTATGCACAGTATGTAATATATTAAGAAATATATGGCTGCATAGAGAAAAGATCAAAAAAATTCATTATGGCAATCTTTCTCAGTGGTAGAATATAACAGAGAAATTTTAGCATAAAAGCTGAAATGAAAGGATGAACTGTATCTTGTACATTTGCTTTTTAAAACTGGTAGTTCTTATAAATTGCCTTACATGAAAAGAACTAAGTCATTGCCATATTTCTGTCTCCTGGCTATTTACTCAGAATTTGAGTAGAAGGGAGCATTAAATTAACACCAATTCATACATGAAGTGGATATTATGGGTAACTACTTCCAAGCAGAGAGAGCAGTAATAAATAATAGCATGTGGTGTTCTTAGTTTCCTTTTTTTTTTCCTTTTTCCCTTTCTTCCTTTTCTGGCAGTTAGACTTTTTGGACCAAATTTTATCCTGGAAGTTTATTCACCTGTCAGCAAATCCTGGTATCCTGTTTGCCATGATGACTGGAATGATGATTATGGGAAGATTGCATGCAAAGACATGGGCTACAGCGTGTAAGTGCAACCTCTGTCAGCCTCTGCTCAGAGAAAGAAAGGTTAAAATGTCCCTCTTGCCATTTTTAATGTGGCTGAGACTTTGCTGTGAAAAATGTACTGGCAAGGGCATCTCTTCATCTTGCTCGGTTACATGAGGTGTATACATATCAGGTAAAAATATTATATAAATGATATTAATATTAAATATAAAATATATAATATTTATAATATATATTTAGTTTAAATATATATATATAAATAAATAATATTTATATAATTTTATATAAATGATATAAATAAATGATAGAAATATTTTAACCCAGTGACTGTGGCTGGGCTGCACCACCAGGGTTCCACGTTCACAAAAATAAATATGATAACCAAAAATAAAGATTTCTGCTGTCGTGTCAGAAGCTCTGGCTTGGCACAGCTCATTGTTATCACCTGTTTGAAAACTGAAAGCGCTGCTGGGTTTCATGGTGGACTTTCTGTTTTTTAGGGATACATATTTCTACAGTCGTGGGGTACCTGACGTCAGCTTTAAGAGCTACATGAAGCTGAACACAAGTGCTGGGAATATAGACTTGTACAAAAAGCTGTACAGCAGGTATCTTTGGTTAATAAAAGCCTCTCTCCTTTCATCCAGGCTCTCTCCAGATGCTGGAAGAGGTGCAGCTTCTGCCTGCAGCACAATGCAAGCACATCTTCCAGTGGGGATTGCTGGAGGGAAAGGGACTTTGCCTTTAATCTGATTGCAGCAACGGCTTTTCCCTCTTTTAAAAAACACAGCTGTCATTTTTCCATCCTCCCTGTCCTTTTCTAAAAGAAAAAAATGTCCCATCCTCTGTGCTGTCTAGAAGGCTGCCAGGTCAAGGGTGTTTTTCTAAGGCTCTCTGACCAGCAGCAGGAGTTTGTGCATGGAGACAGGAGCTACAAGCTGCCACACATTCACAGCAGCTGGCACAGCCTTTTTTTCAGTCACATGAACACACAGCATGCAAAAATGGATCCTCACTGTGGAAAGCATCATTTTTATTATCATTACACCACTTTGAAGTGTCCAGTGTCAAAACCTGTAGGCTGCTGTGCCTGCAAACTCCCTGCAGCTCCCTTGTTTAGTTCTTCTGCCTCGACTTCCTAAATCAGCTCCACTTTCTCTCTTCATCTTGCTTTTCAATGGGCTTTAAAACCTTTTGTGCTCATGCCTGCAGTGTCCCACAGGACAGTTTTGGTGAATGCAAGGCATGGTGGGGGCCAGATGGTGAAGAGAGGAGGGAACCCTCTGCAGGAAGATGAGGCTGAAGGCAGGGCATGTAGCTGGAAAGGGCAGAAAGCAGCTGGAGGGTGGACTTGGCTCACCATTTCCTTCACTGAGTGCCTAAGATGCTGTTTGGTGTTTTTATTTCTCCTGCAGTGGTTCCTGTGCCTCAGGAAGTGTGGTTTCTCTGCGCTGCATAGGTAACTCCCCAGATATTGCAAAAACTTCTGCTTCTTCATGCTTTGAAATGCTCTGGCTGGCAAGTCCTTTTGGAACTGAGGCATTTATTGCTGCTTTTGCATGGGCAAATGGTTTAACTCTGGTTCCCAAATAATGCAGTTTTAGGAGCAGGGTGGGAGAGAGGAGCCAAGGAATGCAGTGCATCCCCAGTTGCTTTTGTCTTTGCTGCCACTGGTTCCTTTAAATGACTTGTGGTGGAGCTCCATAGCTGTCCCCCAGCGCTGTGTTGGGATGTCTGTGGCACATTTGCTCTCCAAGATTCAGCAGCTGGGTGGGCAATGCATTTTTGATGGTGATTCCTGTCCTGAGGAGTCTCCTGGCTGTTGGCTGCTTTGTTGCACAGCAACAAACAAAAAACCCCCCAAAAACAACAACACCAACAAAAAAAACCCCAAAAAACAAAAGAAACCCCACAAAACAAAAAACCCACAACAACAACAAAAAAACCCCCAAAACCCAAAAAAAAACCCCAAAAAGCAACAACAAAAAAACCCCCAAAACAAAAAAAAAAAAAGAAACAAAAAAACCCCCAAAACCAAAACAAAAAAACCCCAAAAAACAACAAAAAAAACCCCAAAACAAAAAAAAACCCAAACAAACAAACAAAAAACCCCAAAAAACCCCAAAACCAAAAAAACCACAAACAAAAAAACCCCCAAAACCAAAACAAAAAAACCCAAAAAAACAAAAAAAAAACCCCAAAAAACAACAACAAAAAAACCCCCCAAAACCAAAAAAACCAACCAAACAAAAAAAAACCCCAAAAAACCCCAAAACCAAAACAAAAAAACCAAAACAACCCAAACCCAAAAGACAACAAACCCCCCCCCCCAAACAAAAAAAAAAAACCAAAACAAACAAACAAACAAAAAAACCCCAAAACCAAACCCCAGTGTCAGAATGGCCAGAGACTCCTGAAAGGTGGGAAGAGTTTATGGTGAGCCAAGGGGAGCAGCTGCCAGGTGGGGTTTGCACTTTAATGCGGGTCTGGGCAATGGCAGACCTGGGATTTGGTGTCAGGGCAGGGGTTTGAGCTGTGGTGTGCCCAGCATGGTGTGTGCACCCCTCTGCCAGGGGAGCCTGGGGTGCAGAATCCCCCTCCCAGCCCCCTGTTTGATGAACCTCTGTGTGTGCCTGACCTTTCAGAGTGTGGCCTGTCCAGCAAGAGCGCGAGCATCATGAACAGGATCGTGGGGGGCAGCGGGGCCGTGCTGGGGCAGTGGCCGTGGCAGGTCAGCCTGCACGTGCAGGGCACCCACGTCTGCGGGGGCTCCATCATCACCCCACAGTGGCTTGTGACAGCAGCACACTGTGTGGAAGGGTGAGTCCCTCTCTGTTTCACAGAATCACAGAATCCCTGGGTTGGAAGAGACCTCCAAGATCATGGAGTCCAGCCCAGCCCCAACCCCTCAACTGAACCCTGGCACCCAGTGCCACATCCAGGCTTTGTTAAACACACCCAGGCATGGGGACTCCACCACCTCCCCAGCAGCCATTCCAGAACTTTCTCACCCTTGCTGGAAAAACCTTTTCCCTGCTCTCCAGCCTGGATTTCCCTTGGTGCAGCTGGAGGCTGTGTGCTCTGGTTGTGTCAGTGCTGCTGGAGAAAGAACCCAGGGCCAGCTGAGCACAGGCCCCTTTCAGGAGCTGTGCAGAGTGAGGAGGGCAGCCCTGAGTCTCCTTTGCTCCAGGCTGAGCACCCCCAGCTCCCTCATGGCTTCCTCACAGGGTTTGTGTTCCCAGCCCCTCTCCAGCCTCCTTGGCCCCTCTGCATGTGCTCAGTGTCCCCAGGTCCTTCCCAAGCTGAGGGGCCAGAGCTGGGCACAGCACTCCAGCTGTGCCCTCAGCAGGGACAGGGGCAGAATGACCTCCCTGCTCCTGCTGGCCACTCCATTCCTGATCCAGGCCAGGAGCCATTGGCCTTCTTGGCCACCAGGACACATGGCTGGTTCATGGTCATCCATCTGTCCAGGACCCCCAGGTCTCTTTCTCCAGCCACACTCTCCCCAGTCCACAGCATTGCAGGTGGTTACTGTGGCCAAAATGCAGGACTCAGCACTTGGATTTATTAAACTTCACCCTGTTTGCCTTTCTTCAAGCTGAAATGCATGAATTTATTCAATTCTCCCCACTTTCTCCCTTAAAACTGAATTTCTCCCCCCACCTGGCATGCAGGTGCTCGGTGCAGTGTTTTGTCTGTGTTGTAAGTTTGAAGTATTAAGGGAAGATTGGTTCTGGAGGAGGCTGGCTGCAGCTCATCTGTCTGCCTTCTACAGGAAGCCTTAATTTATATTTTGTCTTATTTACAAAATGAAATGGGTGATGTTGAGCACAAATACCCACCCAATTCGAGATGTAAACTCAAGGCACCAAATTTAATGCCAGCTAGTACAAGGTTTCCATGAAGATGTTGAATTACACTGTGAGAAAACCCAAAGGGAACTCCCCCCCTCCAAATTCTCAAATATCACACTGCTGTAGATATGATCAATTTAAAGATGCCTGTGCCATTTATTTCTTCGTATCTTTTTGCCACAGGGTAGTAAAGTCCAAGTCAGTATTAAATACAGATTTATATCTATCCAAGGAGCACTTTATGTAGCCATCAACAAGAAAAATAGCTGGTGCTTTGTACATTTTTAACCTATAAAATAGAGTTGAGGGTTCTGTGGTACCCTCAGAAAGGGCAAGAATTTGTTTAAAAGGTGGCTGCTTCTGTTGGAGGGAAAACCCACAAAGCAAAAACATTTTTAATGGTTGGTTGGCTGGATCACATTTGAGGCTAAGGCAAGGAAGAATATTTGTCCTTAACCTTGAGAAAGGAATGCAAGTGTTGATTTCCACCTGGAGATCTTATCCCTCCTTTGTTGTCTGGATTGGAGCTCTGCAGTGTGCAAAAGCTTTGGGAATGGCAACCAAGCTGCAGCTGGCACAAACCTGGTTTTCAGCCTGGTCTGGGTCTTTTTTGGAGGTGGGGTGACTTTCAGGCACAACTGCCTTGGCACTTCTCACGGAGGGAGTTTTAGCACTTGTGGCAAGTTTTCTATTAAGCTTTTGTAAACTGTGCTGGAGCACAAGAAGCTGCTTAAATAGCATGCTTAACGTTAAAAAAAAACCCACCAAAACCCAAAACCAGCCTAAAAAAAACCTCTGGTGGTGTTTTCAAGATAGTGAAATTCTTTCACTAGATCATGTTTTTACTAATTCTGGCTTCTGCTGATACTGGTGACATGTGAGACTTCAGAAATACCTGCCTGATCCCTCAGTCATGGAAATCAAAAGGCTTCAGTGTCGCAGTCTCAGACTTAATTTGTTGTGCTGAGTGATTAAGGGGATGGACAGTGATACTGGACCCACTGCAAAGATTTTATTTAATATATTTTTGAAACTAGAGCCAAGCTTTCCTCAAGTTACATGTCTGGCAATTTGTTTTGTCTTATTCTTCAGAAATGGTAGTCAAATGCATGCGCATTTTTGGTCACACAAACATTTGACTACATGAAGACAATTTTTCTGAAGGTCCTAATCTCTGTCTTGTCACCACAGAATAAAACCTTGGGACCTTTTCTTTGTTCTGTAGGCGACTGTCTGACCCACACAGCTGGAGGGTTTATGCTGGGATTCTCAATCAGGATGAGATGCTCTTCAGAAGTGGATACAAAGTGCAACTGATAATTTCCCACCCAGATTATGACACAGACTCTAAAGACAATGATGTTGCCCTCATGAAGCTGGAAACACCACTGAGTTTTACTGGTGGGTATTCTGCTCCTCTTAATAAGGGAAAAATCCAGTGGCAGTGAGCACACCTTTTACAGCTTCTGAATTTCATCAAGCAATCCTTGTAGACGCTTATTGGAAGTACACAAAATGATCCTAGAGGCAGAGGGCACAGCCTCTGATTTCCTCAGCAGGATTTATTTAAATCTATGACATGGATAGGGGGTTTGGGCTCATCTCAATGATATATTTTTACCTCAGAATGCTCTATGGTGCTTCAGTTTAGCCACTGCTTTATGGGCAGACAGCTACAGGTGCAGTGCTGATTAAACCCCAACTCAAGTCAGGTCAAATGATGGTCAAAAAACCCTTCAGAATTCAACATTACAAGAAGGTCCTTTCATAAAAGCAGATGTAGGTTGTTTATAAGCAATCAGTACAAAATAGAGAACAAGCCATTATTTAAACTTGAAGTGCTTTTTGTGTACAGGCCCTTTGTGTTTCAGTGCATCATTTAAAGCTACCAGGACTAATCTGAAAGGGATTTTCTGCTGCTGAGAGCAGGGACATTGCCTGGTCTCCAGGTTTTTGTGCTGCACACTTCTTCATTCTTCACACTTCTATTCAGTATACAGCAGTACTGAATCCTGCTTGTCTCGTGATTATTTTCAGCAGATTTTTGCAAAGAGAATGCAGAACCTGTAGAGGTTTTCAGAATTTCTTCTTCGTCTTCTACTGCTCAGAAGAGCTGGTGTTAATTGTTCTATTTAACCTGACGTATTAAGGTAGAACCAGTAACTGCTTGTCCCTCACTTTGAGGTGGAGATGGGGTAGATTTGAGGTGGAGATGAGGTAGGTTTGAGGTGGAGATCAGGTATCCCTCAGGGAAAGGGCAGCTGGTAAACTTTCTTCTGCTTCCTGCATTGTCTGCCTTTGAGGAATGCAAAGTACAGAGGGAATGCATGGTGTGTAAGTGGTGGCCATTTAAATTTATTTTGAGTTCTGTCTGAACACCTGTTTTCTGTTTGTTTTGCAGAAACTGTGAGGCCAGTTTGTCTGCCCAATCCAGGAATGATGTTCCAGCCTAACCAGCAGTGCTGGATATCAGGGTGGGGAGCAGAATACCAAGGAGGTAAAAAGTGCCTTTGGAATATTTTGATCTTTCACATGAACTAGTCTTCTTCAGCCTAAGAATATTGTTGCATGGGCTGATGGGGCAGTTTGAATTACATCTGTTCATACACTATTTTTTCACCCATTTTGCAGCCCCCAATATTTACCCAGGGCACTCTGTCTCAAAGCAAGTTTTGCATTCAGCAGACTGCAAAGGGCCCCTCAGATCAGTGCTTTGGGCCATAAATACCCATCCAGGAGATAATTCTGTGCCTCTGCTGGCAGGGCCACCTCTCCTGCAGCAAGGGTTGCTGTGTGCCAAGCATGCATGTCCTGTGGATGTGGGAGAGGGCAGGAGCTGCTTCTTTCCACCACCTCAGGCTGAAAGAGAATAATGCAAATAAATTTGCAAGACTGGCAGAAGGAAAGGGAGGAAAGGGGTTTTTTTTTGGTATAAGAAAGGTGCTGGGGGAGGACCTCTTGACCTCTCTTAGACTTCTTAAATTTCCATCTTACTGCTTCTAGGAAGTTTATTTCATCTTGGCTGCTGGGGTTTTTTGTAACAGCAAAGTAATGTGATGCTGATTCTGGTTTTGTCTTTGTACGTTTGTGCCTATTCCAACTCCAGGTAAAACATCAAATAACTTGAATTACGTTGCGGTGCCCCTCATAGAACGTTCCAGGTGTAATTCTGTTTATATCTACAATGGCATGATTCTGCCTACAATGATCTGTGCTGGAGACCTAGCAGGGGGAATTGATTCCTGTCAGGTAATTATTCCTAATTTATAGCTAATAATTGTATAAAAGATGTAATGATCTGATTATTTTTGTGGCCTTGCTAGTAGGTTTTTTTATCTATCTATCTATCTATCTATCTATCTATCTATCTATCTATCTATCTATCTATCCTTTCTATCTGTCTTTCTATCTTTCTATTTCTCTATTACAAATAAATCCCATTCTCCCCCAAAATTAAAAATTTGCATTACATCCACTTGGGCTTCTGGTTCTTTTGGTGGTGCAATCCCTTTAAAGAGGAGAGCTTTTGTTTTATCATCTGAATGGCTGCCAGTGCTGAGTTCTCACTAAATTCCCAAGGGGGGTGAGGCTCCTTTTTAATGCTTCAAGGATGGTTTGTTACCTGGTACTTGAAAGTGATCAAATGCTCCTCATAACTACAGCATTATTATCATTATTATATTATTAATCACAGTGTCGTGGCTGTGAACAATGAAGCCAGTAATGCCAGTCTTACTTAGAGGGCTCTGGGCAAATTATTTTCATCCCTATTGGAAGCAGACATCATTTAACACCAAAATTGCCACCATATTTGTTTTAGTGAGTCCCTAAATGGCAGGTAGGTTTATATTGAAACTAAAGCTGTGTTCCTGGAGTGAAACAGGTCGTGTTTTTCCTGGTGACCGTGTCACTAACAAGGTGTTTGTGTCCCTGCAGGGTGACAGTGGAGGTCCTCTGGTGACTCACCACCACTCTGTGTGGTGGCTGGTTGGGGACACCAGCTGGGGCACTGGCTGTGCCACTCCCAACAAACCTGGAGTGTATGGGAATATGACTGTGTTTACAGACTGGATTTATAAAAATATGCAGGTAAAATATTCAGAGTTTTTTCATAAATTTTAAAGCCCCACATTCTGAAACGTGGTTCTACTTAAAAAAAAAAAAAAAAGTGATTTACATGGTAACTAAGCTGTTTTGTTGGGAAGCATCCAAGTGATTGTTAAGACAGAACCTGAACCTTTGTTTTCTGTTTTGTTTTGTCTTTTAAACAGGCAAACAGATGACAACACTCTCATTGCTATCGATGTTCCTGAGGACAAGAATGAATGAAGCCATGGGGGCCTGGGATATTTATTCACTTTGTGGTTGATTTTATTTTTCCTCTTTGATTTTTCTTTTTAAAAGTAACATGAAGGATCGCACACTTGGTTCTGTGCTGGCTACAGTGACAGATCTTAATCAGTGAAGGATTATCACAATGAGCACCTTTCTTCTCCTTGGGGTGCCTGGCAGAGTCATTCTGTCAGCTGCTTGCTGAAATGTCTCTCTTTTGTTGAGTAACTTTCACTTGATGATCAGGCTTATAATGACAATTTCAATCAGAATTTAATTTCAGATTTTCGTAGCAGGATGCTGAGACAGTTGGTTTAGTAGTTTTTTAAATTAAATGTTAAGTAATGTGAACGTTGAATCTCCAAGCTGCTGGTTGGCAATTTTAAAAGAAATTAATGTTTTTTTAGTATAGAATTACAAAATGGTTTGGGTTGGAAGAGACCTTAAGGATCATCCACTTCCAACCCCGCTGCCATGGGCAGGGACACTTTCCACTATCTCAGGTTGCTCAGAGCCCCAAATTGCCATCCAAACTGGCATTAAACACTTCCAGGGCTGGACCATCCTCAGCTTCCCTGGGCAACCTGTTCCAGTGCCTCACCACCCTCACAGGGAAGAATTTCTTCCTAAAATCTAATGTAAATGTGCCCTCTTTCAGTCTGATGTCACTAGCCATTGTCCTCTCACTCCATGTCTTTGTCCAAAGTCCCTCTCCAGCTCTCTTTAGGGACTGGAAAAGGTGGTGAGATCTCTGCAGAGCCTTCTAGAGGCTGAGCAACCCCAGCTCTCTCAGCCTGTCTCCACAGCAGAGGTGCTCCAGGTCTTGGAACGGCTTTGTGGCCTCCTCTGGACTTGCTCCAGCAGGTCCATGCTGGGGATCCCAGAGCTGGATGCAGGATTCCAGGTGGGGCCTCAGGAGAGTAGAGGGTGAGGCATATGTATGAAGGGAATTTTTCATGCACTACAGTACAGGCACAGAAAATAAAATAAAAAAAATTCACTGTCTATTCAGGTAGTTAAAAATCCTCAGGATCTCAACACAGCCGTCAGTCAAAGTCAGACTGGTGCAGTCTGGCTGCCTCAGACCTTACAAAAATGTGCCTTAAGCTGCTCTGAACCCAAAATGGGAGAGTTGTGGATGTGGGATTTGGAGAGGGATGCCCCAGGCAGGGATGCTCTGGACAGGGATGCCCTGGACAGGGATGCTCCAGGCAGGGATGCTCTGGACAGGGATGCTCCAGGCAGGGATGCTCCAGGCAGGGATGCTCTGGACAGGGATGCCCTGGATAGGGATGCTCCAGGCAGGAATGCCCAGGGCAGGGATGCTCCAGGCAGGGATGTCCCAGGACAGGGATGCTCCAGGCAGGGATGCTCTGGACAGGGATGCTCCAGGCAGGAATGCCCAGGGCAGGGATGCTCTGGACAGGGATGCCCTGGATAGGGATGCTCCAGGCAGGAATGCCCAGGGTAGGGATGTCTCAGGCAGGGATGCTCCAGGCAGGGATGTCCCAGGGCAGGGATGCCCTGGACAGGGATGCTCCAGGCAGGGATGCTCCAGGCAGGGATGTTCCAGGAAGGGATGCCCCATGCAGGGATGCTCTGGACAGGGATGCCCAGGACAGGGATGCCCAGGACAGGGATGCCCAGGACAGGGATGCTTCAGGCAGGGATGCCCAGGACAGGGATGCCCCAGAGCTGCAGCAGGAGCAGTCTCAGTGCTGAGGTCCCTGGCTGAGCACATTGAAGGTGACTTTTGACCTCTCCCTGCTGTGGAAGGGCAAAGGAGTCCAGGCAGGCTGTGCTGCACCTGGAGCTGCACACACACACACACAGGGATGGGATGTTTTGTACAAGGAAACACAAAGCTGCGTTTCTGCAGGACAGGATGAACTACCTCATTTGTTAAATTTGGCTTCTGATTCCTTAGAGCTCTCCTTTATGTATCCACCTGTATGTTTTTAGCGAAATATAATTTGTATCCGAGTGCCACCTGACTGAGGATTTTGAAAATAATTTATAATTGTGGTAGAGGATCAAAAAGCCATATCAAGTCACTTTGTTAAGGATAAATCTTTATTGAATGAAATGACTCTACTAGTCTTGTTTTCTCTTTTGGAACTGAAATGCAATTATCTTACATGTAAACACTGCACCAAATAAATTGGTTTTTTTTTTCTTTTTTTTTTTTTTTTACAAATAGTTTTCCTTAGTTGTGCTTTATATCTGTTTATTTGGATTTTGGTTTTGAAAACAGTTGCTGGATTCAGTGTATGAAGTGCTTTGAGAGTCTGATTAAAAAAACAAAACCAACAACAAACAAACAAAAGAAAAACAAAAAAAAAAAAAAGAAAAAGAAAAACAACTCAAGAGGGTGAGCTGAGAGATTATTTAAATTCCAATATTTCAGGTCCATGAACAAACTCAGGGAAATAAATAGAGCAGGATGTCCAGGAATGCTGAGTGGTTTTGGTGGCTGGGTCTGATGAAATCACTGTGATTTAATTGAATTAGATAAAGAAGTTTAGCCTGCGGGCAGTGGCTTGAGGGAGTCACACCCTATTCTGTCATCCTCCCTCCTGCTGCCTGCAGCAATGTGTCCTTGCCTTTCCTCTCCAGGTGTGAGATGGGTGTTTGCAATAGCACCTGTGCACCTTGGGGGATGGGGGAATACCATGAAACAACCAACGAGTTTAAAGTACATTCAAAACAAATTAAAAATTAAGCTGTTACAGGTACGAGGCGCTTTTTCTGAGGCTTCTTGCAGCACTGCAAGTCACTAATAGCAAAATAATGTACTGGGAGGAAGGGGAAATTGGCTGCAGTGTTGAAGAAGGTTGAGGAAGCTGGATGTTGGGGTGAATGCTGTACCCAAAGTCAGGCACCAGCTGCAGTTCCATGCCAAAGGGACAAACCCTTTCTGTCATACCCAGCCTGAGGAGAAGGCTTCTCTTGTAGGAAACTTGGAAATTACTACATCACACACTGGTATAAGCACATTTTTTCTAGCTGGATGCAGACATTACTTCTGGTTATCAAACCAAATCTTCCATGTGAAAAATGTCATGAACACAGTGTGTGTGATGTGTTTTGCATCAGCTTTCATGAAATGAAAGTGTGGTGTTTGTGAGGGTTTCCAGGATGAGGGAGGAGATGAATCTGACTCCATATTCTCAGAAGGCTGATTTATTGTATTATGATATTATATTATACTATACTAAAACTATACTACAGAAAGAGAAAGGATACATCAGAAGATTTAACAAGAATGAAGAATAAAAACCCGTGACTCTTCAGAACCTTGACACAGCTGGATCATGATTGGTCATTAAATTCAAACACTTCAAATGCTGGGTAAACAATCTCCAAATCACATTCCAAAGCAAAACAAGGAGAACCTGAAGCTTCTCAGCTTCCCCGGAGAAGAAATAGTTGTAAAGGGATTTTTCATGTCACTGTGATATTTTCTGAAAGAGCTTTTGGAAAGGTTCTCCTTGCCCTGGGGAGGGAAAGGAGAAAGGCAACAAGACACATGCTGAGATACCCTTGTACTGTTTAACATCCTGGCATTCTTTCCTTTTGGACATCCAATCCTGCCCATCAATCCCAAAATTTCAGGTGATGCTGCAGACATCTGAGAGGAAGAGCCTCTTGGCCTTCTGCAAATCAGAGAGCTGGGAAAGGAGATTGAACTGAGCCAATGGCATCCTCTGGATGCACCAGGCACATAAAGGAAATAAACTTTCTTTTCCTTCTAGGCTGGAAGGGTTTCATGCCTGCTGTGAGTTCCTCTCTGCCCCCTGGGCTGAGATTTAGTGGTGACACTTTGCAGAGGTGTCTTTTAGGTGATAGCAGGAAAGAGAACAACCCCAGCAAGCCAAAAACACAAAGGGAAGTGGGAGATCATCGCTGTCATGCATTAAACTTCATTGAGGAAAGCTAGATAATTTGATTTCTACAGTTTGTGAATTGTACAGCTTCCATCATTAAAAAGAGAGAAAAAAAAAAAACCCCAACAAAACATACAATCCTCAGAGTGTTAGCTTTTTAATGATTATTCCAGTAGTTGCACAGAGTTCAAAAAGAAAATGTTTAAAAATGGGATAATGTTTATTTAATCACAACTCCCCCAGTGGAGCTCTTTATGCAAAGGCAGCTGTTTGCATATGATTTTGGAAAATAAAGAAAAACTGAACACTAGAAATTAGTATTAAAGGTCTGGGCTGATGCTACATTTTTATGGGATTATACTAAATTCTTCAGTAATGCTAGAAGATGAGGAGAAAAAAAAAAACCTTATGAAAAACAAAGACATTACAACAAGCTGAATTCTCTCAGGTACTGGCAGGCTTTGTTGAGACGATCAACTCTTTGGCTGAGGTTCTTCCTGATTTTAGCAGCTTCAGAATCCTCATCAAGGAGAACGTTTAACTTCTCTTTTTCTTGTAAAAGTTGCAGCATTGAGGTCTGCAGGTTTTCTCCAAAGTCATGAAGGACAGAAGACAGGATGATCAGAGGTATCTGATTGGCAAGGCGTTTGCTTGCTTCCTGTGAGATGGAGGAAGAAAATGGCAAAATACTAAATTGGTAAAAAGAACTGAAAAATTAAGGGTCTATAGGTAATCTGGTAAAAAAAGTGGTTCCAAGGTCTTAAAATGTTGGCCTGAGTTACTGTTCAAGAAGGGAGTGCTGCTATGAACTAAAAAAAATCTTTGCAACCAATGTCTTTTGTGCCTGAAATCTAAAAATTAAGAGTAATAGGGGTGTCAGCTGTTGCTTTTCTTTCCTCAGCAAACTAAAGCCAAGGCAGATTGTCCTCTGCTCAGCTCTGTCAGCTGTCACTGGGACAAGTTATGGGAGGACATTCCTGACAAACAGAACTTGTGCCCAGTTTCTGATGTCCAGCCTGTCTTCACTGAATGCTTACAATAGGTTTTGATGCAGGAAATCAGGG